CATGCTGACTTGCAGAACTAGTGCAGCTCAGAGCAAACAAAGTATTAGCTGTACAAAGTCACTTTGTGCAAGATGCTACTAATAGCAATAATCTAAGGACAAAGGAGGAGATAGGAGAGGGTTAATGCTAGCCTGCAGGCTTCTGTTGTTTATTCTGTCTCCCTTCTCTCTTGCCCAGCAAATTTCACTTACAGATTAAAAAATAACATTGCGTTTTCTGTTTTGGGGCTCTTAAACAATGAAGTCTCACTTGAACTGCTTTAGATTATCACAGGAGTGTTTTGCTGTGGGGAGTTGTGGCTAATCCAGATGCCTGGCAGGAGGAAGTGAGCTGGCCAGAGCTGTTTATAGTGATGTCCCTGGGTTACCCTGGGGCCTGACTGCATTTGTAGTCTAGTCCCAGCTTCCAGTAGGACCTTTAGAGAACTGTTACCTCACACCTACGCATATTCTTTTCCCTCAGTTCCACAGGGCATGCGAGAGTTTTCACACAGAAGTCTCTAGTTACTTTGCAGCATGCAACCAACGTTAATCTCGCTTTGGACAATGTTTCTGGGTTGCAGCATATTGCAAGAGGGACATGAGTGGAGTCAGCTAACTCCTGGGGTATTAAGAAGTGCCACATGAATGAGGCTGTGGTGTTCCAAGACCACCCCTGGCTCAGAGGCAATACAACCATTTTGACTGAAGCCAATTCAAACCAAAGTTGCTCTGATGTCTCAGCAGTGTGCCCTTCAGTGCTGCAGTCTATAGGAAGGCTTATTGGTTCTGATAAAGTGTGAATGTATACAGCTATTCTGAGACCACCATTGTACTCATTATGAATGAAATGCAACCCAGAGCCCTACAGAGGGTAGGGTAAACCATACACAAGCACTTTGCAGGATCTGTGTTAGCTGTACTCATCCCTTCAGGTGTCCTAGGCTTCTATGAAGCTGGAAAATAGGAAGCTGAGATTAAAAGTCCTTAAAACTTTTTAACAGCTGTAACATGAATACTCTGATTCTAATTGGAATAAGTTAGATTCTCATTTATTGGCCCATAGAATCAAAATTCTGCAGGAGGTGCTTTAATTCTCTGAAATTAAATACTGACTTTAGTTACTTATGTTGACCCTCAGCTCATTTGCTATTACATGACCCAAAACCACCAAGCCTTTCAGCCCTGCTGGCTTCGGTGAGATTATATGGATATGGAAATGCTTTTTGGAACAGGCTGCAGAAATTTTAAGTTATTTTAACCAGTTCTTGTGGCATGAAGAAAGATAGCAAATTGCCTTCTACTTAGACAATACAAAAAAAAAAACAACCCACAAACACCCAAACCCTAGGCTAAATAACTGGCCCACAGAATACTATTGTATGTTGAGAAGAGCAAATGATGGGTTAAAGTTTTATATATTATGGCTCCTTAAACACTATAGGAGGCAATTATTCTGAAACTGTTATTCCTAACCTCAAGTACCTCTCTCAGTGAAAGTGTGAGAAGAAAAATGCCAGGCTTTGTTTTATGTCTGATTTCTATTAAAAGACGTTAATTAAAACTAAATGTTTTTCTATGTCTTTAAAGGAAAGAAGGAGTTCATGGATTTTACAAAGGAGTTGTGCCCAATGTGATCAGAGTGACTCCTGCCTGCTGTATTACCTTTGTTGTTTATGAAAATGTGTCTGGTTTCTTACTTGGTTTCAAAAAAGAAAAAAATTAAAAGGCATGAGCTTGTGTTCATTAGGAATCTACCCTTTATTTTTTATATTTATGATCTGGGAGAGATTTAGTTCAGCAGTCTTTTTTTACACTGTGAATTGATGTAGTATTTTGAGGAAAGAACCTGGAGATAGTAAAACCCTGCCACCATCTCTTCTGCTGAATATTCCTGTGTTGCTGCCTTCCTCTCTGAATCAGCTGTGTCTGCTTGAAACAGATGTCTCTGCAACTGTGAAATAATAGCACTTTGACTGGGTGAAGGCAGCTGTGCAGCAATTGAGTTCATCCTGGCCTGCCTGGAATAGTGGACTAATCTGTTTTGACAAGTCCCAAGATGGCAGTTGGTCAGATTCTATTCCTACAGAAGTGGAAAACTTCATATAAAAGCAACTCTGGGGTCTGTCAAAACTAAATCTTTATCTGAGTCTCATGAAGAAAGTATGTATTTAATTGCTTACAGCAATGTCTTCTGAATCCACCTCTGTGTTAATTTGTCAGATTTTAGGATATGGAATGCTTCAAATTCCATTGCTCATCCAACACAAAAATATTGCCTCTGTGGTGTGCAGTTTGGAAACTCAAAATTGTTTTGTTAAACAGCTGTCCTTTCTTGGGTTTGAATAATTGCCAATCTGATGAAACCCAGTTCTTGTCTCATACCAGGACAGACTTGCATTGTGGGTTTTGGCTTGCTTTTAGCACCAGACCAAAGTGTATGTTGTGTGCATTGCTGACCACTTACTTAATTCATTTTTTCTCTCTTCCCTGCCTGCCTTGTCTCTCCCTCTCTGTCTCCCTGTGTCTCAGAGAGATTCTTTCTCTGTTACTGATACATCTGACCAAATATTACTAAGTATATGCATATTTGAAAGTAGCCTTACATTTTTAAAATTAAGGTTTTTTCCTAGTAATCCCACAGAGATGCAGTTTTCAAACCACTGTGATAACAAATGTGACCATGCTTACTTTCAATAATATTCTCTGGAAAAAAATATTCTGTAAATAAGTAGTCTAAAAAATACTGTGCACAGGACTTTCTTTAAAAAAAAACAAAGCGATCCATTAATGTCTTCTGATTTGGTCTAAGGAAAGGACTGTAAGAATGCATTAATTGCTAACTTAGTGATAAAACCAGTACATCTCAGTAAATTTGTATAATAATGATGTTTATTTGCATGCCAATAATTGCTATCAAGGATATGTACTTTTTGGAGATCTGGGTTTGTTTTATTTTTTTAGTTGTTTAAGAAAAATACATTACTGGCTGCAACATCTGTCTTCTGCTGTTAGTAAGAAGGTAGTAAGAAGTATCTAGAAAGTATCATTTAACTAAGGAGGAAATAAGTTAGCAAAGATTATTCAACAGGTAGGGGGGAATAATCAGTTTCATAAGGAGCGGAGAATACAATCCAGCAAAACACCTGCCTAATCCCTTAGAGAAGTTTCCTGTTTAACAGAAGACTAACCTAAAGCAGACACAAGGCTTTTTAAATAAAAATTTTACAGATTAGGGAATTGGTTCCAATTATAAATTAAAATCTGGAAGACTACAGAAACTGCTCAACATTTTGAATCTTATTTCAGCAATCCACTTGCTTGTTTCTGTTGATACTACTGCCACTTACCACATTTTATGTGTAGTTAACTTTATTAATAATTTACACTTTCTTCTCCACTATCCCATTCCCTTTATTGATACATCTGATAATCTCATCTGGAAAAGGCGTGTGGCCATTATGGCTGGCTTTGTTTTTTATTATGAAAGTTTCCATGTGTATTTAGCTGAAGATCACCTTTACTGGAAGTTTATCATGCAAATGACTGTATAGATCCCTAACAGCTACTAACTTCTGCCTTTGGAGGGTGTTTACTTGGTTTTGTGTGTGTTCTAGTATGCAGAATGAATTCAACGGAACACAGCGATAACTCTGCTAACCAGGGTCCAAAAAATACTGTGAAGACATACGAATAAATCGTAAGAAGTTTTGCACTTACTACCCTGGATTGGTGTGCTCTAGGCGCAGAACAGCTTAGTCATGCTCCAAGATAAATGCAAGGACAGGCTACAAGCATGTACACAATCACTTACTGTATGTTAACTGACATTCTGTAAATTCACACCATAGCTTAGCTCATAGTAACTTGTTTGTGTTCAGATACCTTAAAACCCATCGTCCAAGCCAATGAAAACAGTACAGTTCTTCAGAGACAAAATACCAGCTGTGTAATTTGCTGGCTTTCAGCAATATCACATGTAAGCTTGCAGTTGAGAAAGCCTGAATGCTCTCCTAGCTGCAGGTGTGTTCCTTCAGCACTCTTAACAAAAGCTGCAGACAAGAGCTACCAATTTGAGAGATGCCTGGGAAAAATCTTATAACCTGTTCAGAAAAAAAGCTGAGATTTAATCCTAAATAGTTGAAATAAAATCCTTACCTCAGATTGAATGTTTTTTCCTTTTAATTTGTGGGAAGAGTGTAGATTTCTGCATGTTGTACGTGCTTTTTCTTGTTTTTTTGATTAATGTAAAATTGGTTTTGTAATATAAACGCCACTTCTTTGCCTTTAGAATCTGTACAACTTTTAAAAAATATTTGAGTATATCACCTGTTGCATTTGGAAGAAAATACTTAAAATCTGAGGCTAATGCTGTGCTGGCATGATCAGTGTTGTCACTTGTCCAGTCTGGAGGCTGCAGTCAAGTATCTGTGACATCATTCTTTCACTTTACCAGTACACTTTCTGAAAGTCAGGGCATTTCAGCCTGCCTTATTTCTCTATCTTCCGAACGATTTAATATGTCTAGCTTTTAATTAATACCAAAGTGATATGTATATGTCTGAAAAGCTAAATCCAGGAGAATTATTTTACTGGAGCAATGAAATTAAGTTTTGTAACTGTAAAATTATTTAGTATCTGCGTGCTAATAGTGGAGACCAATAATAGATGTTTATATTGAAATCTACTCTGTTGAGAGGAGAAAGATGGAAGGAGAGCTTAGTCTATTTTTACTTCATTGTTCAGAACAAGGTATTTAATGCTTACCACATCATCTAGGTCACAGATAAGTCACCAGGAGTTTGTTGAGAGACTTAAGACTAACAGCAGAGCATCCTATGTTGTAGTCAGGTTTACAGGAATAGATGTTATGTATGTTTTCTGAAGGCTAAAGCCAAGACCCGAGTTTACTTTCTTAGAACTTTATATGAAGTCTTCTACAAGAATCACTTGTGTATCATAACACCATGTAAAATACCTTAAACAGTTTGATGATCAATAAAAGAGACTGCATTTTTTTAAAAAGGTCTTATTTATTTGATACAAAAAGTTACAGTTCATTCTTAAAATGGTGGTGATATATTTTCATACATCAAATGAGGAATTGAAAAAGTTAATGAACTTGGGTTTGATATTTATATTCTAAAATGATTATTATAAAAAGCCTCTGCAATGTGCAAAAAAAGGCTAGACAAAGACTACAGATGCAAGAATTTGGTGCCTTTCAGTCAAATACTTGCATTCAACTCTACAGAAATAAATTCTGAAGAAAATTGTACAAAATTAAAAAAAAAGGGGGGGAGGGAGTATAAAAAAGAAGAGAAACTTATTTTGGCAGTTCTTCAATGATGATTCGGGAGACCGAGTTCCATCCAGTAGAAGCATCTCCCCGTGGATAATCTGAGCAGGTCCCGACCCAGATGGCAATATCCACCAAGCCGGCATTGATCCCCTCACACAGACCTTCCACTGGATAAAGGCAAAAATCAGGTTACCTCAGCAGACACAATCACTTTGTATTTCACAACTGAAGGTGGACACAGGTACTTAAGAACAGCAGTTCACTGCAAGCTCAGGCTATTTAATTAAACCTGATCGGCATTTTTAGAAATAAAACCTCTTTCTTAGAGATGTGGCAGCGTAGGTTAGAGTCATGCACTGCCTTTATCCATGCTGCTGCTTAACGTCTGCTGCGGTACCTGAAGCAGATCCCAGTCCACAAGATGGCTAAACGGGAGGTATTCCTGCTTCTTTAAATGCCCAACTTCACAAACTGGTAGCTGGGATATGGCTTCAATCCCAGCCAGCCATCTTTTCAGCAGTGATGGGGAGGAGGGACGGGGACACAGCCATACCCAGCTTCCACAGCTAAGTCCTGCAAAGGCGACTGCCACCCTGTGAGCCTCCCCACTCCTATTTCACTGCTTCTGTATAAAGTTCCACTTCTGTTGCACTCTTTTTTTTTTTTTCCCCCCGCTAGCACCACTAGTTGAGGGTGGGTTAATGAAGCCAGGTGGGTCCTACCCCTTGATGAAAAAACCTACCATAGCTCTAGACATTAGATTTCATGCAGTCATGAAATAGTACAGGGAAGAAAATGGAGAAAGACTATAGACCTGATGTTAGTCCCCTTTTCCTAGTGTCACCTCCTTTTAGGTGAAGGACTTCCCTAATTTGCCTTTTACTTAGCAATTGAATAATTTTTCCTAGGTACTTCAATCCGGAGGTAGTTTTGTGCCCCATCTGAAATTACAGTAGAAATTCCAGGAGGAATAAATCTCATCTTATGCACAGGTAATGCACAAATACCAGTACTTTAAGCCAGGATGACACTGTCTACTTGGCAATAAGGCAGTTTCTCCGTATGCTAATACAGCACAGAATGTCTCTATTCATGTTGTAGCAGAGATCAGTAGAACTCTCTGTATAGAAATCTCTTCCACTTATAAATTGCAGGATGTGAGTAAGAAAGATGGGGACAGACTTTTTAGCAGGGAATGCTGTGATAGGACAAGGGGTAATGGTTTTAAACAACATGAAAGTAGACTTAGACCAGATACAAGGAAAAAAATTTTCACAGGGTAGTAAAACCCTGGCCCAGGTTGCCCAGAGAGGTGGTAGATGCCCCATCCCTGGAAACATTCTAGGTCAAGTTGGACAGGGCTCTGAGCAACCTGATCTAGTTGAAGATGCCCCTGCTCATTGCAGAGGGGTTGGACTAGATGACCTTAAAGCATCCCTTCCAACCCAAACTATTCTATGATTCTACCATGAAAAATACCACAGTAGTAAAGTACCATTTAATAAATAATTCTAATACTGTTACACTTGATAGTCAACTGTGAGACATCAGAGTAACAAGTGTTAGCTGGCTCCTCTTCTGCCACTTCTTTCAGTCTTTCGACTTTCTGAGGCAGACTGTACTCTGCATCTGGTAACTAGATTTGCTCCTGGCTTCTACTCCATCTCTGTTCATGTGGTCTTGGCATACGTACCTGAAGAAGTTCGGTGTATATTAATAGTAGAATTCAGCTCTGGGCTTCCTTGATCTAAATATATTATGGCTTCAATAGGAAGTGGCCCAGTACATTCTGCTCCATTAAAAGTAAAGTACCAGCGCTGACAGCAGGCATTTTTGCATTTCAGCCGAAGCGATCCACTGAAGAGGACGCGGAGAGCACTGTTCGAGCGCATCTTCGTAAATGTACATTCCTAAGAGGAGACAAAAATGCTTTGGTAGCAACCAAAATAGGTTTTGAACCTATTTATTTGCCATATACTTATATTTAGGAAATATATTTATATTTAAGAACACATTAGGAATATATGTATAGTTATTTCAGAACGTTTTGGCTATTCTCTTTACTTATATTTAGGAAATATATTTATATTTAGGAACATGTTAGGAATATATGTATAGTTATTTCAGAATGTTTTGGCTATTCTCTTTAGTCTCTTCCCTCTGGGAACAAAAAAAAAAAAAACCACACAACCTTCAAGTACAATTTCTGCCTCTGTCACCAGAAATCCTGGATTTAACAATTATCACAAGATTTGTGAGAGGCTTAAACTCTAATAAAAGCTTTCAAGTTTTTAAGAGGTTGTTATTCTGTCTTCAAAATGCTGGAGATCAGGGCGGGGGGGAAGCAAGGGACAGTTCTCAAGTACAAGGCAGTGAGAAATGTCTACTCAAAAAAGTTGATTCTCACTCTAGCCACAGCAATAGCAGTTAAATTACTCCAACCAATCTGGCCATCGCTCCACAGCTGGGATTGAACTGGGATTTCTTCCCCTCCTCTAGGCTTGCACTGCTGTGTTTGAAAGTTTTATACGCAGAGCTGCAGCGGAGGACGGACCGTTTGGGTAACGCTTGGTAATTCTGCTCCTGAACGATGCCGATCCTTTCCGCAGTAGCATCCTGCAACTGAGTTTCAGTGAGCGACCATTTTGAAGCAGGAGTTACAAAGTCAGGTACAATCACCAGAGGAAAGAAAGATGTACGTCTCTCCTGTTCCTTATGATTGAAATGGTAAAAACCTTGCCCTATTCTGGGCAAGCTGGAGGTATTTTCTTGGTAAGTGTGACTTTCAGCCTTACAGTTACAGATCTGGTCTTCTAAATGTACTCTTACACCAGCCACATCATTCTTTTGAAACACTATTAGAGAAATGAAATGGGGACATAGCTGTGAAACACAGCTGAGATGAATCTGAAGTGGCTGAACCTTTGAGAAGTTCACCCTTACATGTAGAAAAAGGCTCCGATGGGAAATCTGTACGACTGCTACCCAGCTCACAGAGGCAGATCTAGAGCCTGCTGAGGTTGGCGAAGTGCAGCATCCCAGGCAAAGCTAACGTACCGCTATCTTCCCGAGATCGATGCCGTAATTAAGCGCACTCCACGAACACTGCTTGAAGTTGGGCGTCCAGGACTCCTCGATGCTCTCGCGCATGCACTCGCCCTTCTCCCCCTTCAGCCCGTCCCGTCCCGGGATCCCAGGTGTCCCGGGGATCCCGTTGGCTCCTGGGTTTCCATCCCGTCCAGGAACGCCACTGGGGCCTTGCAAGCACATGCCGTTGTACTGAAACACAGACAGGTATTGCTGCTTCTGCCCGTTAACGCCGAGGCTAAGAACTTAAACACAAACAAACAACAACCACAAAACCCAAAACCCCTGCTGTGACACAAGCTAATGGGCTTTCTCTGGATCACGAAGAAAATGGTTTCATAGAGGAAAAAAGGAAAAATAAAATTTCAAAGATAAGCAGTGACAGCAGAATTTGCCGTAAATTAAGACACGAATTATTTCATGAAAAGATGCATAAATCCTAGAATTAAAAATTGTCCTAGTCCAAGGATTAAAACCTGTTGGAAAAACCTGAGAATATTAAAAACATTCCAAAGCAGAAACAAAAAAAAAGTTATACGTTTATAGTTACTTTCTCCTAACCCACCATTGCTTGTACGTCTTGTCTTGGATAATAAGCTTTTTTTATCTTTTTTTAAAGTAGAGTAACTTTTGCATTTCATACAGAGCGGAGGTTAACGCTGGTTTTCTTCTGTCACCACTCCTCCGAGACAGAACCACGTTGCGATAGCCAAGCCACGCAAGTCAGACTCCAGAGCGCGCACAGCGCGACGGTGCCGATGTTGGACGTGGGAAGATGCACTCTGGAATAATCCCGAACTCGGGATCCCCGTTCGTAGCAGTGGGAAGGCACACGAGGGAAGACGGCACACTAACGTCCTCCCTAACATCACGATACGAGGAAAGGCCAAACGTTGCCCTCCCAAGCTGCACGTTAACACATGTTGCCTTCGTACCTTATGAGATTTGGGTTTGCCCCCCTTGGAGAGTGGGTTTGTGCGGCCCAGAGCTCCTTCCCCCAGCAGCCGGAGCGCTGGCTGCCGGGGGGGAGACGTGTGTGGAGCTGGCGACCACAGGCCTTCTGCTTTAAATGCTCTTTCCCACCTGGTGACTGACTGCTTCCCCCAGTCTTCATCCCAGACCCTCACAGGCAACTCTATTCTGCTCCTCCCCTTTCTCACGCCTTTTTCTCTTCATCCATTTTAAACCACCCGATCCCCACCTGTTTCAAGAAGAAACGACCAGGCAGCTATCCACCCTGCTGCGAGCCGTGCCGCTGTCTGCGCCGCAGGAGCTGTGAACTACAGCCCCTGCCCTCTCTCCTTTGTCAGACTGGTGAGCTTTCTTCTTCTGGGGCTGTTCCTTTTCCCGTGCTCGGGTGCAAAAACCAGCACGGCCAGCACAGGCGCGGCTGGAGCCACGCTATGTATAAAATCAGTGACTCTGGGTTCTAAGAGGAGAGCTGGACCGACAGATGCTAGCATTCCCTTACTGCCCTCACCAAGGAAGACACTGTGGCCTATGGCAGTGGAAATAGCGGGATGTTCTCACCGGGAAGGCCACGTGTAACAGTTAGCCGGAGAGAAAGCTGCGTGGTGAAGCACACACTGACCCAGGGGCCACGAAAACGATGCAAAGACTTTTCTGTTCCACACAGCACCGGTGATCTGCTTTTGCTGCTACGGTGCCGTTGGACTTTGTAGCAGGGACTGGCGCTGGTTTTTGCACGTGGGTACTCACCACAGCAATCCTGAGGACGGAGAAATGGTCAAGAGCTGGGGGCAGGCCGAGGCTCAGACCCAGGGGCACCGGCAGCACAGCGAGGGAGCAGGGGGCTGCCCCGAAAGAGGGGCTGCCGCCGCTGCTGCTGCCTTCCAGGGAGCACAGCTTAGCCATTGCACACCCCAAAAAATGGAGGTGAGTGGAAGAATTACCTGGGTTTTGGGCTCTGCTCCAGTTAAATTCACCTATGCTTGCCAAATCAAGTCTTTTTTTCATGCTTTCTTAAGCTTGAAATGCGTAAAACGTCTTTTAAAATGAAAATGTCCACTGAAGGCAGGATCACCCCTCGGGCACACTTTCGTTCTGCCCGGCAAGGGCTTTAGCCAAAGCAGCCTGTACAACCGGGCTGCGGCCCACGCAGCCACCATCTCCTCACCCACGCTTTGCTGCCCGCTCTCCCGCACCAGAAAGCACGAGGCGATGCCAGAGAAACGCCCTGCACGAAGGACCCTAAAATCCCGCTCCAACAGAAAATGTAAGCTCCTCCAGGTGTGCAAACTCCCTTATTCTCCCTTCCATTCCATTTCTACATGAGTGGAAAAGAGTAATGAGGTGGTGTGAAAGGGAAGCTTGGCCACCCATGGTGCTTCCAGCACATCATTTTTAGGGATCTCTCTGGAGATCATGGAAGAAACGGCCACGCCGCTGATTTTCTACAGGAGGTGAACGGCAGCCTAGCAGCTCACAGAAATAGCTTCACATCTGCTTTCTACATTCCAAAGACTGGAAAATCTCCCTCCCTGCTTCTATCCCTGAGATGGGATAGTCCCAACGCATTCGGGTTTCTGGTTGCAACGGATAGCAAACGGAGGTATGGAGGTATGCGGTCCCGGGCGCCGAAGGGAGGAATGCGACCCCGAGGAAACGCGGCTTCAGTAACGCGCGCAGACGCAGGTTCCACCGGATCTCCAGCAGAAGAGCAGTCCTCCTGCTTCTCTTTTCGCAGCGCGTTATTTATTCCGTAGCCTTTTAGGAGCTAAGCCGCATTTACGGGTGCTTGTTGCAAGGGCTGGGAGGTCCCGGCGCTGCCCCGCAGACCGA